AATTAAATTAAATTAAATTAGATGGGGTTATACTATCACAGACAGAATGGCTATGCAATTTGGGGGTCCTCCTTCACTTGGGCCTCTTGTTTAAAGAGCACTTGTGGCCAGGGGATGCTTTGCTTTATGCTATTCCTTAATTGTACCCTTTCCTTGATCAGGAGGCACTACATATGATCATTCATGCTTTGGCCACCTCCCAATAGATTACTGCACTCTATATTGAGCTTCCCTTGAAAAATATCTGGAAGCTTCAGTTAATTCAGAATGTAGCAATAGGGGCAAATATAGACATGTCTCATTATCTTCATAGTGCATGTTTGTTTTAAGAGCTGCCCTGCATCCTAATTTGCTTCTGGGTGCAACTGAAAGTGCTTATTACTACCTATAAAGCCCTACATGGCATGAGGTCGAGATATTTGAGGGACTGCCTTAGTTCCATAGTATTCAACTTATCCCATGTTAGGTAGGAGGGACATATTGTTGGTCTCACCAATCAGGGATTGTCATCTAGCAGGACATAGAAGGAATCTCTTTTCCATACTAGTGCCCGCACTCTGGGACACCATGCTGCCTGAAATTAACTTGGCCCCAGCTCTGTTCACCTTTCAGAAAGCCTTGAAGATCTGGCTATTTTTCTAGGGAGTTGTGAATGTAATTTGTTTTAAAAAAATTGTGAGCCAGAATACACTACCAAAGAGTAGATGACCAAAGGAAGACTGAACTGCAGCAGCACATCAGGATGCTGAAAAGCTTGTTTCATTTGGAATGGTATTCTCCATGTCCAAGCAATTCTTAATCAAATTAATAATATGCAAGATTGGATCGTTTGGTTTAGGCACTCTTAATTTGCCATGGGGTAGCATTAAACATATGGTAAGTGGATTTTAATCCACAAAAGCTCATACAGTAGTATCTATGTTACCTTTAAGGGTTCTTGAATTTGTTTTGATTTTGCTATAATAGAATGACTACCTAGAAAATGGTTAAACAAAATATATTAAAAGCTAAATAGAGATAGCTGTAGGATGGGAGAGTGATAGAAGCACCTACAATTAGGGTTTTCTCCCCCATCCCTTCATTTCACCTGTAATCGTAGCTGCTTCAGCAGACAGTGCTTGTTGATTGAGACTGCTGGTCTCAGAATCAATGTGGAGGGTAGTCAAACTAGCTACTTCTTGTTCTTCAGCACTCTGCTGAGGGCCGGAACCTATATCAGATTCAGCAGAAGTTGTTGTGCCACCTTCAGGACATAAACTGAAATCTAAAAAGAAAAGAAAAGAAAAGAAAAGAAAGAAAGGGCCATTGTTCAGATTTAAGTTAAAAACACAGCCATTACTATTATCAAAACAGCAATATTGAAGCTTTCACAGAAATAGTCTATTATTAGTTTTTGTTTTATATTTGCTGTAATGTTATTAAGATGTACAGTCAAGGGTAACTGCCAAAGAACTGTTATCTATGTTTGGGGATATGGTATATATTAGAGTAGACAAAGGAACAAAAAACTGATGCATCTGAGTTCTGTAAATAACATGTATTTTCCCTAGGAAACCATAAGCTGGGACTAACTTGGGGGGGGGGGGTATTTTGCCATTACCTCCTTCTGAGGACTGCAAAAAAATCAACTGGCCCAATGTCACTCAACTGGGTTCGTGCCTAAAGAGATTAGAATTCATACCCTCCTAGTTCCTAGCATAGTGCCTACTACTCTAGCAGACTGGCTCCCTTGTAGTTGGCTCATTTACGTGTAAAAGCAAGATTGTGAAAGTTTCGCCACTGGAGACAGATCTGTTGAGAGAAGAATGTATAAGAAGGCCCAGGATAGGACCTCATCAAGAGAACTTCATTTCAATTACAAAATGCTGAATCTATTTAAGATATGTACATCTACAAATAAGGACCTTTCCCAACTAAGATAATTCTTGAGGACTGATTCTGATGAAATAAGCCCAAGGAACTCATTATCATGAATTCATGCTGTTGTAAACAGGAGAGAATGAGGGCTTTATCTCTGTTCCTGATTGATAGAGTTTGTTGAGACAGGTATGTACCCAAGGATACGCTCACATCATTTTCTCTATTGGCTGAATATTCACTAAGTCTTATTTGATGCCATATGTATCCTGTAGTTTGAAACATCAATAGTAATCTTATGTGAAAAAACAAACTTATGTAATACAAAAAACACTATTTAAAATATCTGTTTAATTGTGTGTTTCCCATAGGCAGGATAAACCTATTAGACAGAAATTCCTGCTCTGAAACTATACATTTTGATAAAAGGGTCTTCCTTGTGGATTTTACTTCAGATTTTTAAATTAATTTACTAATATTAACCTTTTCAAATTTAGATTTACATCCAAATGTATTGCTATGTTGATGGAAAATACTTTTATACAGCAGACATGAATTCAATAGGGGAAGAAGATGATCATCATCAGCAATTTACCCTTTCTGCAGCATCCTATACCTTACCCATCTGCTCTGGATGATTTGAGGCCATTCTTCAGAAACATGGGAGATGGGAATAAAGGCATGTGGGAGATGGCCTGAAGAGAAAATAAAATAATTCTACTCCCCTCTACACAATTACAAGCTTCCACTAGATTGAAAGATGTCTTGTCCATGACGGGATAGCAATCAAACAGCAATTGAATTTTCTTCTTAAAACTCCCTTTTATATAATTGTATATAAGATTCAGTGAGGATATACTTGCTTTCAAATTTATGGCCATCATACTGGAATGCACTGAAGGAATCAGAGTGGCTGTCAGAACTGACAAGGTCACTGCTGCCTGCACTGGCAGGAGACGTCCATTCAGAAGGTACACCAGGATCATCAACAGGACGCATTTGATTCTGCTTGTTCAGTATATCAGGAAGATCTTTTGGTACTTCTAAGCTTCCTGGACTGCTTCCTCTTCTTGCCACATTCTAATTGAAATAATATTTCATGTAATTTAAGAAAAAAATATAGTCAGAAATGACAGAATCTTACAATTATCAATTTTTAAAGAGGGGAAAATTGACACACTATGACATTTGCACCCCAATCCATCCTGACAAGAACTTTATCTCATAAAATCATAGAGTTGGAAGGAACCTCAGGGGTCATCTATCCAATCATCTGCTTAGTGCAGGATCCACTAAGACATTTCTGAGATAACCATCCAGCCTCTGTTGGAAAGGAGAACTCACCTCCACATGTGGTAGTGTGTTCCACTGGCTGATAATTGTACTGTCTGGAAGTTATTTTTAATCTATAGCCTGAACCTCCTTCCTTGTAGTTGTAACCTACTGGTTCTTATTCTGGTCTGAGGCATGGAATCTAAGTCTACTCCCTGTTTTGTATGACAGCCTTTCAAATAGTTAAAGACTATCATATTTTCTTCAATCACCTTTTCTGTAGGCTAAACACAATCAAGATACTTCTGAATGGTTTGTTTATATATATATCTATAGTTGCCCATCTCCCTGCAAAGGATACTCTGGATGGCATACAACAATAAAATGGTTTCCAGGTCCTTCATCATTTTCTTGAATTTATCAATATCCTTTTTGAACTATGGAGCCCAGAAGTGGACACAGTATTCTAAATGGACCATTCATAATTCCATGATATATTCTATGCTCCTATTAATGCACTTCATGGAAGCATTTGCCTTTTTAGAGGCTGCATCCCTTTGCTGGCTCATGTTTCAGCTGTGGTTGATAAGAACGCCCAGATGTTTGCCATCCTATTTTTGTGTCTTTCATTGTGTCCCGTCATTTTTCATTTTTACATTTTTGCCTATTAAATTTCATCCTGTTCATTTTAATCCACCGTTCAAAACTAAGCAGAGCTTTTAAGCTATGAACCATCTCTGCCATCTAGCCCATATTTTACCATTTTATTAAGGAAAATACTATTGAAAAGCTTTGCTGAGGTCCAGGTACATAATGTTTATGGCATTTTTATACTATCCTAACTAGTAACTCTATCAAAGAAAGAGGTAAGGTTAGTTTGGCATGATTTTATTGGCAACAAACCCATGCTGACCCCTATTAATTGTATCATACCTATTCAAATGCTCACATATATGCCGCTTAATAATAACAGTAACATTGCTTCGTATAGACATCATGCATATAGGCCTGAAGCATCCTGGATCCCCCCCCCTTTTCATTTTTGAAGACATGGATTTCTGTTTTCCTCCAATCTTTTGTCTCAAAGGTGCTCATGGATGAGACATGAAATATCTTCAAGCAAAAACAAAGAAAGTGCAGTTGTCTTTTGAAAAAGCACCTTTGGGACAACCATGACCTGGATGACTGAGAATCTCCATTGACCTCCAATCTTTTAGGATCTTACCAATCTCCTGGCAGTTCTTAAAGGTTGCTAAGAGTAATTCTGCAGTCAACTCTGCTGGTTCTTTCAGTATTCTAGCATGTGATCCATTGCAGATCTGAATTCATTTAAATTAGCTAATGTAGTTTGAGGTATCTATGCCTCAATTTCCTCCTTTCTCCAGTGGGCAGAAAAATGATCAGTGAGAGTTCCATTCTCTTCTGAGAGAAGACATGCAAAATAGGAGATAAGAGATTCTACCTTCTCATCACACAATCAACTATGATCAATCCACCACTTTCTGCTTACAACTAACCTGCAGGATCTTTGGTTTTCTTTTTATTTATGACATAGTCCAGAGAGTTAGTTGTTTGTTTGCTTTTGGTATATCTCACAAGCCTCAGCTCACTCTAAGGCAGGGGTGTTAAACTGCTGGCCCATGGGCTGGTTGCTGGTTGCCCACCCCAGCAATGTAAAAAAAGTTGCGATATGTCGCGACACGTCACATGACGGTGCAAGTTTGACACCTGTACTCTAAGATATCTCTTATGAGTCCCTGCTCATTTAAAACTTAGCCCACAATTACTACAATGTTTGGAGAATACCTTGTATTCTTCATTAGTCATATGCTCCTCCTTTCATTTCCTATACATATTCCTCTTTCTCTTCAGCATTTTAGAGAGTTCTGCATAAATCCATTCTGGCCTCTTTATATTGCTCCTATTTTTCCATCTTTGCTGCCACAGATTAACACAGTTCTTTTTCTAAAGCATCTTTAAAGTGCTACTTCTGCAATAAATTTCTCCCTGTTCATGTGAAATAGGCTTGGGATAGCCAACACTCTTATTTTTTGTTCTACCTTTTGAAAAATAAAGATGTCAGTGAGAGAAGACCTACCTAAATTGGACTCAGACTTATTAGATTATCAGAGGTAAGGATAATCAAAATTTTCTATTATTATTACCATATGCCTCTTTGAAAGATTGATCATCTGATGGCAAAAATCTTCATCCATATCTTCTGACTGCTAAGTTGCTTATAATAAACCCTCGTGATAGTATCATTTTCATTTCTCTCTCATTTTTTTTCCAATCCAAACAGTTTCAATAAAATTTGATGATATCTGAATTTCTGTGCAAGCATGTTTTTCTTTGTGTAACAATGCAATACCCCCATTCTTTCTATGGAGATGTTCCTTTGAATATGTTACAGCTTTTTATTGTTATGTGTGAATCATGAATATCACATCACCAAGATTCCATTATATCCATCACATCACATTTGTCTTCCTGAATTAGGATCTCTAGTTCTCCTTATTTATTTCCCAGTCCATTAGCATTTGCAGTTAAAATTAATTATGCAACTCAATCACAATCATAATTGTATCTGATACTTTACAATAAAAGAAAATGCTAAAAGCTTACCAAAGAGCTACCACTGCGTAGTCTTTCAGCTATAAACTCATCCATGAGGTCAGGAATATTTGCATTACTACTGCCATTATCATTACCAAGAGAGATCTGCTTTTGGTTCATATCTTCCCTATTGGCTAAAAGCAAATGAATGACTGTATATAGTAAAAAAACATTTTCAGCAATAAATACTTTAAAACATTATAAAATAAGTTAAACAATACAAATAATTATTTACTGAACATGCAGTTAAGATATATTCTTTAAAAACAGATTTAGTTATAAGAATTAGTACAGCTTTTCCACGTATTAAACCATCCCATCCCATCACCACTGAGCAAGTGTTAGTCAATCTCCAGTGTGACCTTGAAAAAAGCAAGAAAGCTTACAGATAAGCACTATTAAAGTTGTTAATGCTCGCTTCACTCCTTCATATCACTGAATGCATAATACTCTACAGCTATGCAAATGTGTGCTAATGAAAACAGAAAGGTTGACATTATATGTATTATTTATATGCTGAATTATATGTTTCACTGTATTACTGCATATTCAAAATACAGGATTGAGAATGAAAAACTGAATACTTAAAAAAGGAATATAGTTGATGATCAATACTGCAAAGCAATACATTGTTATTCATCCTGTTATATTTTGTTATTTTAACCTTGAAGGTTTCAAATGTTCTAGTCTATTTTTATTTAATTAAATATTGTCTCTCCCCAAAACAAAGAGTAAATGTGTTGCTACTTTGAGATATAAATTTTGATTTTGATATTAACTCTCAAGGCATTAAATAAAATTTAAAAACCCTCTCTAAATATTCTTAGTACTCAACCTAAACATTTTCAGCAAGGAGATGCATTAAATATAATAAATTAAATCAATCTGAAATAATTTGTTGCATTATTGACTAACTTGTTATGATATGCTAACAAAGACTGCCCTCAGATGGCATTAACATCTCAATGCAGGATGCATTATAGAACATTCTGTTAATCATGCCAGCATACAATGTACAAAGAAACAAAAACAAAAAAAACACCAAAATCCTACCTCACTGCTGAAAATGAATGTAATTCTGATTATTTTTTTAAATGTTACTTAGCATGTTGACTAAGATGGTGATATTAGAATGACAGCCAGCCTTGTCCATTTTTATTAGTACATAGAGGCCTCATAGCTAGCTCAAGAAGAACTATCATGGTTCCTTTATGCACTTCTATGATTCCAGAAAACAAAAGCAGTAATAGATGTTGCCATGAAAAGTGGGGCATCCATTTCAGTGAATGCACCAAGAAAGCGCTAAAGCATATTTTGAACCTGCTTAAATAAAATGTCAAAATCCACACTGGATTGTTATGAGGAAGTAATCCAAACATAAAATGTTGACATCTGCTTTAAATTTTTGTTTTCAGGAGGAGGAGGAGCAGGAGGAGGAACCTAATTGCATCTGCAATTAGTTCAAATACAATAAGTGATAACTAAGGAGAAGTACTAGAGATATTACACCTACAGTCTCTATTAGAAACCAAATATATGCCAATTGTATCTAAATAGTTGGGTTGCAGGGTATGCCAGAAAAGCATGGCAAAGATACAATCTATTTGTAGATTTACTGTCTCTTCCTCTTCCCTACCTTAAGTGTTCAGCAGCAAAGTGATTCATTAAATGTTTTTTTTTTAAAGATAATTAGTAATTTATAGTTTGTACATTTTAACTTACACTTGGGGAAAAAATTCAGCTGGCCATTGCGCATGCAAAACCAAACAAGAAAAAGCACTGATCACCCCAAAGCCTTTTGATTGCTTTATAACAGCTTGCTTTAGGTGCATAAAGCCAAACTGATGCTGCCTTTCTCCTTTTGTGCGCTGCACAGTATTAGTGCTCACCTGCAGCTTTCTTTCCAAAATAGCCCATTACATGACTGTACAGATCCCTCAGTGGAGCCTCTGCTGGCACTCTGCTCTGCCTCTGTGGGGAAACATTTGCCTTCGGCTTCGAAAGAGCATGTACAACAGATTTATACACACCACCCAGGGAGCCCTGCTGTTGTCCCGACTCCTGACTTGATGGTTTAGGTGGGCTACGATTAGACATTTGATTTATTCCAACACTTTCCTTCTGCAGCGTGAATGCTGGAACATCTCCTGATTCTTTATTCTGCTTGCTATTAGCAGATGTTGGACTGACTGCATCTAGATGCCTATAGATTCCAGGTCTGACCAGCACAGCCCCAGAGGATGAGCTGGTACTTGTACTTGTATTGCTGCTGCTGCTATTGATCCCACTACTGAAACCACTGAGTTTACGCAGTCTTGCTTTCCATGGGGCCTCTTTGTTTTCTAGAGGATTATAAAACTGAACAGATTCAGTAGAAGGCCTAAAAGTGACATGGACACTGTTTCGCTTTTTAGTTGCTATTTTCATGATTTTAGCCTTATGAGTTACTGTTTCAGATATACTTCTCTTAGTTGGTGTCACTTTGCTCATGCCTGTAAGTTGAAGCATTTCAGGGTTAACTATGGCTTTATGTGGCATTTTCTTTGCATGCATAACACTTGTGTTGGTTATTTTTTCATTAAAGAGGGCACTCTTATGTTTTTCAGCTAACACTGTTTCCACAGATACATCTACATCAGTGGCAATTTGTCTGTACAAATATCTCTTCCTTTCTTTGTCAATAGTACTTGACCCGGGATCAAGCAGATTTTGAGTGTGTTTATCAATATTTAATTGTTTAGCATTATCAGCTTGGTTTCTTGTAGAAGTATCTACTTGTGTAGGTGCAATATTACTTATAAAGCCAGTTTGATTTTGTTCCAATTGTAGTTCTGTATTATTGGTATTTTCTGCAACAATAGTATTACTTGCAACAGTCTGGTCTGTACACTCTCCTTCATCCAATGGCAAATTATCACTCCTACTTATTCCTGCAACAAATTCATGAGGAGAAGACTCATACTTATCTATCTCAATGCTACTGAAAAATTCTTCTTTTTCTTTAAGATATTCTCTCAGAGATGAAAGAAGATCATCTTCACCTTCAAGGTCAACATACTCGTTTTGTTCAAAGGCTGCATCTGCAAGTTCTACTGGGCCTACCAACTGACAAAGATGATCATAAATACTATCCCCAACTTCCAGAGAGGACTCTCTGCTATTTGTATCGGTAATGTGACTTTCAGTGGATTTACATATTGAAGAGGCCTCTGTGGAACTCTGTAAGCTTGGAGCATGATGGGATGAACCGTCAATGACAGGAACTGCACCTTTGACTCGCTCAACAGTGAATGGTTCCAGTATATCAGATGTGCTGCTACTTCTTGGAAGTGGCTGCTCCTCGTTCAGTGCATCAAAAACTTCACTAGGAGTTTCTTCGCTCTGTGAAAAATGTCTGATGCGAGGTGGACGTGGGAGGATTTGAGTATCATCCATGTCTGCAGAAAAAGTATGCATTTAGTATATATATTATATCCATATTTTTATTTTCCTATTATTTAACTGTTCAGTACAATAATACAGCATTTAAGAAGGTTCCCAAAAATGAAATACTGTTTTTTTTGAAGTTTTATTAAACATCTGCATGCATATACAAAAGGGATACAATATGCATCATCAGGACACTTTTAAAATGTTAACACTGATAGAAATAAACTGCAAAGTAATGGGAGATTTGGAAACACTGTTAAAACTAGGGCTGTGCCAATACATTATTAAATACTAATTTAATTCAGGGAGTCAAAACAAACATTTAATTATATTGCCTATTTAGAGGGAAATGCAATGCAAAAACTGACAGTCTATCATAATTTAGATGGCTCTATATGTAAATAAAAAAGTCCTAATGTGCAAATCTACAGGAATAGAAATACAAAGCACAAATATAAAAATGAAAGGGTATTGCTTTATATTATTATATAAGTTCTTTAACTGATTGTTTCTGCATAATAAAACACTATCTTTTCTCCCACTACTCAGGTTTGCTTAAGATATGCATATGCACATACTTTTCAGCCTATAATTAGACCCTTCAATACCACCCTATATTCCCCTAAACATAAAAAAACTAGTTTTTAATAAAACTAATAAACACAATATAGTATTTCAGAAGTCTAACAAATTGAGCCTATACCCTATGATAATTTCATAATAATTTTACTTTTTTTCTTTCTAAATATCCAAAATTATATCTTGATCCTAACAAGACAGTTTGTTATTCTCTGCAGGTAATAACTTGTAATACAGAATTAATCTTTGCTATTTTAGATCAGTCAAAATATATGAAGATGAACAGAAAATTAGTAAACACTGAACAGAAAAAGCAAAGTTGTTCATACTTTTCCGTGCCAATAGTACTGCATTTGAGCTTAGCTCTAATGATCAGTGCAGAGGTTAATGAAAACAATTATAACTGCCTATTACAACTTTTTCCAAGATGACTTAAAACAAGGAAGAGATATTTTAAAGTATTATATCTGGCCATAGAAGCATGTCTGCAGCTTTTAAATGCCAATGAGATACGTTGAGATATGTTATAATGTGTTCTGGTAGTCATTTAGTTATTTTATTTCAGCAACGTTTTCAAATTCTACATTTTATTATTCCCTTTTAAACTTCTTCTTTTTGGTTAGTTTGGTGTTGGTAGTTTTACAAATATTTAGCTTTAGTACTATTATCCTAGTCGGGTTGTAGGGCATCTTAAGTATTTCACCAAAAATGGAATATACATTTTTTTAAAAAGCTAAATGAATATTCAGATCAGTATTTCAATAAATTTATAGACAAATATTCATGAGGAGCAAGGCTGTTTTATTATGTAACATAAATTTTATGTTTAGAGTCTCACACCTCTAATATTCTCCCAGCTGACGTAAAGCAACAATATAATTGATAGGTATGGACTGTAATAATGGTTTTGATTAGATTAGTTTTTCTATGAAGAAATTCTAAGTCTATATCAGGAATATGCAGATCATAAATGGCAAAATAATGGCTCTATGGAACGGACTAAATTAATGATCCTCTTCATGCAGCAGCAGACAGCACTGTATAAATATGGAAACTTGATTCTGATAGTTACTATGACTTCTATTCAGCTTTAAAACACTTCAATATACAGTATGTGACTGCTGAGAATGCAAGTCATAAGGTGTTCCAAGTAGTGTGATATCTTTGTCAATTTTTTTAATGTTGTGGAAACAACGTGTAGTGGAATATCCTAAACTGTATGTTGTGCAATCAAGCAAATGAAGCAGGTAAGAATTACACATTCCAGATCATATTTTATAATACATAGAAAATAAATTCAATAATGAGAAATAGGTCCATTCCAAACACAAGGCCTTGAGAAACTATTGCCTATTATATTGCCTATTATAAAGAGTACAGAGAAGAGCAACAAAGATGATTAGGGGACTGGAGGCTAAAGCATATAAGGAACGGTTGCTGGAATTGGGTATGTCTAGTTTAATGAAGAGAAGGACGAGGGGGGACATGATAGCAGTGTTCCAATATCTCAGGGGCTGCCATAAAGAAGAGGGAGTCAAGCTATTTTCCAAGGTGCCTGAAGTAAGGACAAGAAGCAACGGGTGGAAACTAATCAAGGAGAGAAGCAACCTAGAACTAAGGAGAAACTTCCTGACAGTTAGAACAATTAACCAGTGGAACACCTGCCTCCAGAGACCGGACAGCCATTTATCTGAAATGGTATAGGGTTTCCTGCCTGAGCAGGGGATTGGACTAGATGACCTCCAAGGTACCTTCCAACTTTACTACTACTACTACTACTACTACTACTACTACTACTACTACTACTACTACTACTACTATTATTTTATTGTTGTTGTTGTTGTTGTTGTTATCTATAAAAGAACAAAAAAGGAGGATTAAAAAAAAACAATTAACTACGAGAAGAAATTTTTAGCAAATGGTAACATTTGTGTCATCTCCTCTGAGCTCAAAAGTTAAGCAAGTCTAGACCTGATTAATACCTGCATGGGTGTATCTCGGGGAATTCCAAAAATGCAGGTTAGACTAAGAAGGAAGAAAAAACCTTCCTGGAAGAAAGCAACAACAAGCAAGTTCTTTACTGTTGCTAGGAAAACCATACAGTGACAGGAGGATCCAAGGTCAATGCATAATGCAGTTCAAAACTAACCAGATAAATCTAAGTTAAGCAGACCCCAAACTGAGCACCCAAGTGAATCTGACAGAAGGAGAATATGCTAGAACAGCTAAGTCCTCTTTCCTATTATAAAAAGCAACCTACTAAACCTAACCATATAAATCTCACCCAAACATAATATATTGTATTGTGTAAAAATATCTCCCTGTTGGCAGAAGTCGTGAGTATGCAATCACTGCAAAAAGCTTCTGTCTCTCAAGAAGCAAGTTTATTTTTTTTTAAGGGCAAAATGGCTGCCCTGGGAGACATGCGAGTGATAGAAAACTTGGGAAAAGAAGGATTCATGGGTGACAAAGAGGCATTCTACTCCAGGTGTGACTGCTCCTTAGAATGAAGTTCTAAGGCACGGGTGTCAAACTCACCACGTCACGTGTTGCGACATATTGCAACTCTTTTTGCATTGCCGGCAATGGGGTGGGCGCGGCTTCGGTATGATGAAATCGGCCCGTGGGCCGGCAGTTTGACACCCCTGTATCTAAGAGAAAGAGGTTATCACTGCAAGACAGAAAAGGAAGTCATTCCTTGAAGGTTAAAGACATATAATTTTGGATTAAGGGTATGCCTCTAGGAGGGAAGGGGCTCCTGATTCCATTAACAAAAGCGCAGATAGATAGGAGTATCTACAGTACATGATCTTAGGACATACATAAACTGTATAGAAGTACAAGGAACAATATCTTGGAGACAGTTTTGCTCTGTAAGACAAAGAAAGAATAGAGTCCTACAAACTAGAACTCACAAATGGAACTATCTCTTCCACTGATTCATTGTGGATATAGCAAGAAACATTTTAGAAAATATATTATTTTCAAATTAATTGTCAGTGGTGCCTAGAAGCTGGCTTGGGACATAAAGGTTATGAAACTAATTAGAAACAGTGATAATAATGCTATTACATTCAATGAAATAAAGACTGACATTTTTTAAAAAGGTAACATGATCTCATTTGAATTCAAAAGAGTAAAGTTCCAGAAAATAGGAGACAAGAAGGTAAAGACTCTAGAATGCACAGAGATTATTCAACATTATAGTGGTGTAGGTGTTCATTCAGAATGTGTAGCTTATGTGAGAGATGCCATGAGGTACAGAAGCTAATAAGCAAAGCCAGAAAAATGATTAATTACATTTACAAAGGTTCTTATAAGTTTGTGACTCCTTTTGAATCATCACTATTTCTGCATAAATATGACATAAAGTGTGATTTATTCTCTACACAAGCCCTAAAATTAGATAAAGAGTACCCAATTAAACAAATGAATCCAAAACATTATACTTGTTCATTTATTTATTGAGGAACATAAATCCAAAGCTACTTATTTGTGTGTGGCAGAAATATGTGAACCACACATACATTTCATGTCACGTAGATTGGGATAAAAGAAACTGATTGGCCACAATCACCCAATGAATGTCTGTTGCTAAGGATAGACATGAAAATTGGTCTTCCTGCTGCCAGTCCAACAACTTACCATTAATTGAGAGTCAGTGTAATACAGAGGCAAGAAGGAATCCTTTATAAATCGAGTTTTGCCAAAAAATGAAAATAAACCTTTGAAAAGAAATGTAAGATGAAAAAAAGACTGAAAAGCACATAGAGATTCAAAAGACGAGCAACCTAGGATGTTGGACATTAGACAAAAGAATCTAATACTATAGTAATATTAACCATAATTGTTCTTGTTCTTTTCAAAAGGGGAATTAAGTGAAATTTATTTATTTATTTATTTATGAATTGTATTTATATCCCGCCCTTCTCCTTTCGGACTCAGGGCGGGATATAAATACTACAATTAACAAGGGTTTTTAAATAACTAAATGGAGAAATTGCTGGCATTCTGACAAAAATATATGTCACATAAAATAATAACAATAGTGCTTAGACTTATATACCGCTCTTATATACCGCTTTACAGCACTCTCTGAGCGGTTTACACTGTGAACATATCATCCTCAACAATTTGGCTCCTCATTTTACTGACCTCAGAAGGACGGAAGTCTGAGTCAACCTTGAGTCCTGTCAGGATTAAATTTCTATCAGCAGATCTGATAGACTGGAAACTAACCAAAGAACAGGAAACAATAGGAAACAATGGACAGTGTTCAAAATGGAGAGATGCTTAAGGAGGGGCTTCGAGGAATCATTGTTGAGATCAATATTTTTTTATTTATAAATCATCTGGACTTGTAAATTACAATAAGCTCCTAAAAGATAACTCCCAGTTAGTGAATGGGTTCAAAGTGACATGTGCAGTT